AAAGACCAGTTTTTGATCCTACTTTTTATAGCAGGGGCATCGAGCATTAGGTCTGGGCAAAGGAATTTTTACAACCTTGGCTGTGACCCTTGGGTTAGTCAGTGGAGATCCTAAAGAGGGGAGTGAGTTCTAATTTCAATGGGTAACTAGGCAGCCATCATGAAATATGTTTCAGAGGAGTTTACAGCGAAAGTCAATAATTGCAAGAAAACAGATGTCTTATGATTGTTTTGTCTCTTTAAGAGACAAGTCACGCCCACTCCCTTCTTGCCTGCAGTCTTAGACCCCAACTCTCTCGCTTCCTGTCCCCTCTCTCAGAGGGGCGGCCTCTCTCTCTCTCTTTTTCTCTCCCTTGATCTCTCCCCACTTCTCTCCTTTTTCCTTCCTCTCCATACCCCATCTAATAAATGTCTAACTTTATTTTGTATTATATGTTTATCTGTCTCTCTTGCCTGCTGGCTGCAGTAACATGAAGACCATCTGCATGGTCTTCTGCCCAGTACCTGCTTGGGACCCCAGCAGCTTATAGCAAACCCATCTGCATGGTGTGCCTATCTTTCGGCCCCTTGCCCACCCACTGCCCACATAGCTAGTTGCCGGGGATGCCCATGGGACCAGCCATCTTCGTTTGTGGGAACCTGCAGCAAATCCATAACAAGATGTCTTTAACAATTAGTCAGAAAAGGGACTACTAGTAATACTAAATTAGGATTAACAGTTTCTTAGGCTGAGAACTTAGAAGATAGGGGAAAGCTTTTTACACTTTCTAAAGGTAAAACTCAGATATTGACTGCCATAAATTACAACCTCCGTTATCAGAGCTCATTAATTAAATCATTGTATTTGTCCACTGTCTCCTGTTACCTCCAAGTGTATACTGAAGCCCCATGCCTCTCCTTTGGTGTTGCCAGTTTTCCATAACAGAGACAGTGCCTAACCCACAGGTCACATATCTCTGTCTCCTAATGGTTAACTCAGTTCTCATCTGTCATTTATCAAGGATGGCCAGGACACTACTCTCAAGTTGCAGGGAGTAGCTCTGGCCTTGAAACTAAAAAAGCCAGTTGTTAAATGAAATGGCCTAAGCTGATGGAGGCTTCCCAAGCATACGAGAAAATAGCTCACTGTGAATGACTGATCCCTGTTCTGCTGAGACTGCTGCTGAAAGTCTGTTCTCTTTCTCCTAGAATTATAACTTTATATTTCTTTATTTCTACATTTTTATTTTCTTATTCTTGGACTTTTCATATATTTAATTAAAAGTGTGTAAGCTATCTTTCACTTAAATTGCAAGTCTGTCTAGCTGTTAGGAAAATGGAAAAAGGAAAGCATATTAACTAATGAAGCAGGCCTAATTAAATATCAACATGTAGAAGAATGAAAATAGGTCTATATCTATCTCCATGCACAAACTCAGGTGTAAATGAATCAAGACCTCAACATAAAACTAACAACACTGAACCTCATAGAAGAAAAATGAAAAGTACACTTTTGGCACAACTCAAACACAATCTCAGTGGCACAGACATTGGAAGAAGCAATCAATAAATGAGGTCCCTTGAACTGAGAACCTTCCGCATAACAAAAGATATAATCAACAAGACACAATATAGTCTATAGAATGGGATAATAACTTTATTAACCACTTACTCCACTCCAAAAACATACGAAGAACTTAGGAGAATAGTCACCAAAAGAATAATCCAATAAAAATATATGTTATAGACCTAAACTAAAAACTCTCAATAGATGAACTTAAAATGACTGAAAGATGCTCACCTCATGCTTAAACATAATATCCTTAAGCCATTAGATAAGTGGCTTATCAAAACTCTGAGATTTCATCTTATCTCTGTACAAATGACCAATATTGGGGCTGGAGAGATTGCTCAATGGTTAAGAGCACTGGCTGCTCTTCCAGAGGTCCTGAGTTCAATTCCCAGCACCCACATGGCAGCTCACAACTGTTTGTAGCTCCAGTACCAGGGCATCTAACCCTCAAACCAATGAACATAAAATAATAATAAAATAAATTTTAAAAATGACCCAAATTTAAAATAGTGGTAACAACCTATGCCTAAGAGAATGTGGGCAAAGAGAAAATTCCACTTCTGGAAGTGCAATCTGGCACAGCTGCTTTTGGATTATAGTATGGCAGTTTTTAAAAAAAAAATTAGGCAACCATCTACCTTAAAACTCAGTAGTACCCCTTTTGGCTAACTATATAAAAGATGTTCAACCAAAACATAAGGGCATCTGCTCAGCTATGTTTACAACAGAATTACTTAATCATAGCCAGAGCCTGAACACAATCCAAAATGTACCTCTTCTGCACATATAAAAATGAGAGACATCATACTTTACAATAGACATGAATACCACAAAATATTTTTGAGTAACGCTAACCACACAAATGGAAAAACCTGTATGATAAAAACCTTAAATCTTTAAGAAAAAAATTAAGATATTAGAAAACAGAAAGATATTTTATTCTCTTGGAAATGTAGAAGAAATATAGCAAAAATGACAATCTCATTGAAAGCAATCTACAGATTTCAGGCAAATGTTCACTAAAATATAGCAAAATTCTTTGCAGTTCTTTAAAGAACAATGCTCAACTTCATAAAAAAAGAGATAAAATTCTGGATAGTGTAAACAATCTTAAAATTCTATCCAATAAAAGAACCTCTGAATGTTCCCCAATTTTTGACTTTATTTTATTTTTTTTTTATTTATTAAGAATTTCTACCTCACCGCCTCCCTTTTCCCTACCCCTCCCCACATCTGCCTTCCTCTCAAATCCAAAGAGCAGTCAGGGTTCCCTGACCTGCAGGAAGTCCAGTTCCTCCCCTTTCCATCCAGGTCTATAAAGGTGAGCACCAAACAGACTAGGCTCCAACAAAGTCATTCCATGCAGTAGAATCAACAGTGTCATTGTCCTTGGCTTCTCAGTCAGCCTTCATTGCCAGCCACATTCAAAGTTTCCAGTTTGATCACATTCTCCATCACTCCCAGTCCAGCTGGCCTTGGTGAGCTCCCATTAGATCAGTCCCACTCTCTCAGTCGGTGGACGCACCCCTCATTGTCCTGACTTCTTTGCTCATGTTCTCCCTCCTTCTGCTCCTCATTTGGACCCTGGGAGCTATGTCCAGTGCTCCAATGTGGATCTCTGTCTCTATCTCCATCCATCGCCAGATGAAGGTTCTATGGTGATTTGCAAGATATTCATCAATGTGGCTATGGGACAAGGCCAGTTCAGGCACCCTCTCCTCTGCTGCCCAAGGAACAATCTGGGGACCTCTCCTTGGACCTGGGAACCCCTATAGAGTTAGGTCTCTTGTAAACCCTAAAATGGCTTCCTTATTAAGATATTTACTTCCCTGCTCCCATATCCACACTTCCTCCATCCCACCCATCCCATGACCCCAAACTCTCCCGAATCCTACCCTTCTCCCTTATCTCTACCCATCTCCCATTACATCGACCCCCCCACCCCTATACACCAAAGTTTTGCCTGGCAATCTTGTCTACTTCCAATATCCAGGAGGATAACTATATGATTTTCTTTGGGTTCACCTTCTTATTTAGCTTCTCTAGGTTCACGAATTATAGTCTCAAAGACCTTTAATTATTGCTAGAATCCACTCATGAGTGAGTACATACCATATTCCTCTTTTTTGGAGTCTGGGTTACCTCACTCAATAAAGCGTTTTCTATTTCCATCCATTTTAATGCAAAATTCAAGATGTCATTGTTTTTTAACCACTGAGTAAAACTCTAATGTGTATATGTTCCGTACCTTCTTTAACCATTCTTCTATTGAGGGGCACCTAGGTTGTTTTCAGGTACTGGCTATTACAAATAATGCTGCTATGAACATAGTGTAACAGAATTTCTGGGTCCTGTGGTAGCTTGATTTTGAATTTCTTGAGAAACCACCACACTGATTTCCAAAGTGGCTGCACTGGTTTGCTTTACCACCAACAATGGATGAGTGTTCCCCTCACTCCATATCCTCTCCAGCATAGGCTATTATTGGTGTTTTTGACTTTAGCTATTCTGACAGGTGTAAGATATCATTCTACACAGTTATAAACACCTAATTTTTGAAAAGAATAAAAAAATACAAACTGGAAAATAGAAAGCATATTCAACATATGGTTGGCATAACTGGATATCAACATGTAGAAGAATGAGAACAGATCCATGTCTATTGCCATGCACAAAACTCAAATCCAAATGGATCAAAGACCTCAACATAAAGTCAACCACACTGAACCTCATAGAAGAGAAAGTAGGAAGTACACTTGAACACATTGGCACAGGATACCACTCCATAAATATAATTCCAGTAGCACAATGAGTATTGCCTGATATTGACGTGGGAAAGACAGATTGAGCATAAAAAAGTGATCACAGGGAGAACTTCAGGACAAAAAAAACCTAAGTGCTCTAAATACAGATATGTCTCCATAGAAATCAATGAGAAGAAAACAGACAAAATAAAGATGTCCCATTTGCAAAATTTCGTGGGGCTTATGACAGCACCTCTAAGAACACGTTAAAATTCAGAAAAGTTTTAAGTGATCCTATCAGGATTCACCTTAGAAAGAAGCCATGTATATCAGAGACAAAGGGACAGACAGAGTTAATATATAGATACACGGCTGGGTGTTGAGCTTTTAAATTTCACATTGGTCCTAAAGATACATGACAATATGGAAACATAGCATTTTCCACGCATATGGTGAAAAAGGAACTAAATAAAATGTAGTGAATCCCTAACGAGGAAAAAGTTTACAGAGAGCTACATTAATGCTTCATTTTCTATAACTCTCACCTGTGTATATGATGTCTAATTTCTCTGGGTCCTGTCTTCTGCCAGATCCAATTCAGAGTACGCTATTGCAGGAAAATATGCAAATAATGATTCTTCTACCCTTAAAAATCAGCCTTGCCCTGACCCTGCAGCTCTGGCAGAGGAGACAAGCCCTGGATTCCCAATTCCTAACAGTCAGGGGCCATCACTGCACACAGGCGAAATACTATGGACTTGGGGCTCATATTGGTTTTCTTTGTCCTTCTTTTAAAATGTAATTCATAAAGATGAACTGTGTGTTGTGTGGACATGAAAAAGAGAAAAAAATAGTCTTCTGTGTAAATTTTCTAACCAGAATTCTTTGTGTTTACAGGTATTCAGTGTGAAGTGCAGTTGTTGGAGTCTGATGGAGGCTTAGTGCAGCCTGGGAAGTCTCTGAAACTCTCCTGTGCAGCCTCTGGATTCTCCTTTGGTGATTATGGAATGGACTGGGTCTGCCAGGCTCCAGGGAAGGGACAGGAGTGGGTTGCTTTAATTAGTTACAATGGTGGTAGCACCTACTATACTGACGCTGTGAAGGGCCGGTTCACAATCTCCAGAGACAATGCCAAGAACACTCTGTACCTGGAAATGAGCAGTCTGAAGTCTGAAGACACAGCCATGTATTACTGTTCAGGAGACACAGTGAGTGAATGTTACTGTGAGCTCAGACAAAAACACCCCTGTGGGGAAACACAGGATCAGCAGGGGGCACTGAGAGCACTTAGAGATCAGGGTCAGAGAAGAGGCTATTCAGAGAAACATTGAAGACTGAACTTCGTGTCTGCTCTGCCTCTCCATATCACATTTAGAGATTTTTCTCTACAGGTATAGAGTGTATACCTTGAGTGTAATACACCTTGAATATCCAAATGTTTATTACAATTTCTTTTTCTTGTTGGGTTGTGTGTGTTTATTTTTTACAGTGTTTCTCCTTGGTTCCATTAACTCTTTCTGTCTAGCTGTCTCTCTCAATGTTCCACTCTCTCTCTCACTTTCCCTATTTCTCTCTTTCTCACACTTTCGCTCTAACTACTCTCCATGTTTGTTTGTATGTGTGTGTGTGTGTGTGTGTGTGTGTGTGTGTGTGCTGGGAATATAGAATGAACCATCACAACCAGCTTCTAAGCTAAGTGTTTTGACTCAAGCTAAGATACTAATGCTGGGAGGCAGGCACAATACCACTGAGACAACTATTGAGTCCTGAATTTTATACCTTGACAAATGAATTGTAATCTGTAAAATCAAATATGTGTAAAATAATTTTAAATACTTTAATTAATAATTTTTAATACAAATAATTTTAATATTAATAATAGAGAGAATTTTGTCAATTATGGGTTTTTAAAGCATTAACTGTACATATAGAAATGCTCAAACCCTTATATGTCCTCACAAATGACCCTTAAAACTCTAACTTTTTATGGAATTCTGGAATTGGGGAATGGACAGGATCTGCAAAAGAAGAGAGAAAAGAAATAATTACCAGAATATATGGTGTTGAAATTTTTCAAGAAAATAAATTCATCAGTTATTGACAACCCTGCATTTGATGGTTGGGCATGGTGAAACACAGTCTGAATTCATTCAAAAGGGAGAGAGAAACAAAATGGTCTCTTATAGCTTGTTCTATAAAGAAAGTCCAGGCCACCCAGATGACCTTGTCTAAAAAGAAAAAGTCATCCCCTCTACCTGTATATGGGAGAGTGTTTCTGATTGTGGGTGTGGAGGATGGGTATGGGACTGTATTTGGAAGTAGGATTCTCATTCTCTCTGTGTGTCTCTGTCTGTGGATGTTGGAATGTGTGGCTGTATATGGAAGGGGGACTCTGTCTGTGACTGAGGATGAAGTTGGACAGCCTGTAATGTCCCTTATTTCCCTACTTTCATGAGAAGAATTTTCAATTGTCCTACCTTCATATATATTTCCAATGTATCTTGGCCATATCCTCACTCAACTTTTTCCTTCCAATTACCTCTTCTTGGTCCTCCCAACACCTTTTACTCCCAAATTCATATCCTCTCTTATTAACTCTATAAATCCAAATAGTATTGCCCATATGTCCATGAGTGTGGAGTCACCTAATGACAAAGGCAACCAACCAATAGCTACACCTGCAAGTAATATGAATCCCATCCCCCAGCAGCCATCATTGAATGTAGAGAGTCCATGGCTGTTCACTACTAAGAATAGACAGGAGTGTGAGTGCTTGTCCAAAGACAGAATGTCTATATCACAACTCCCACATATCCTACTTCCCTTCTGCTCCATATTCCGCTCACGTGGCACAAGAAACATCACTGAGGAGTGGGTTGAAAGAGTAAAATTCCATAAAATGGGGAGGATTTCTGGGAGATTAGGTTACCTCTGGACACCACGTGGTATTATACACATGAACTTTTATGTGGTCCTTTATAATAAATGTACAAAACCAAGCAAGTTAAATGGTCTAGCATGTAGAGGAGAGAGGGACTGTACATGCCACACCTTCCTGATAACCTCATTATTTTTTACTGAGATAATGAGCACTCAAAATTAAAACTTGTTTCAATATTTTTAAAAATCAGAAAACAGAAATGTTCAAAAACCAAGAGCAAAATGGTCACAATACTATAAGAAAATCTACTATTGGTGTTTGTCAAGGAGTAAATACTGACAATGTCTCCTATACTTGTACCAAAAAGCTAGTGCTTCTCTCAGTCTTCCTCAGTGAAGCCTCTTTCTGATGTGTGTGATATGTAAAGCATGTAACCATGACTGCCCTGGTACTGAACATAAGTGACTGCTGAATACTTAACCCCAAACAAACATATTATGTATGTTCTGAAGCCCAAGAAAGGTAGCAAGAGACAGCAGGAGGAATGTGATAGAGTTGGGTGCTGCCTTTTAGATACAGTGAAGTCATAACAATTATGCATATATATCTGAAACAACATACTGAATATAGCTAGAAACAATGAAATGGAAGGAAGTGATCAAAGACCAGATGTGGGAGAGAGTGAGAGGGAAGAGAAGAGAGGAAATGAGGAAGCAGAAGTTTATCAGGGAGGCAGGGAGGGAGGAGAAGAAGAAAAAAAAGCAAGAGACACAAGAGTAGGAGGGACCAGAAGGGGTCATCAAAAGTGTGTAGAAGAGGAAAGTGGATAGTAGGAATGACTGATTCATAGATTAGCTTGAATAAGTTCTATTTTACCTAAACCTTTATAAAATTTTTGCTTCTACAACAAATTCCTTTTTTCTGTTTCAAATAAAATATTTTCTTTCCAGAACCTTCCTCAAAAATATAAAGGAAATTGAGCCATTCCAAAGTTGCTAAAATGCTACTAAGGGCTTGCCTATAGGCCAATCTAGTGGGGAAATTTTCTTCCAACTGAGATTTGCAGTTACCAGATGATCATAGCTTTTTCCTACATTGACAAAGTTCTAACAATCATACTAATATAAAATATCATACTTCATTGTAACAAAAAACATTAACTGAAAGTCCATAAGTCCACTAGCCATGACTATGTAAATGATTGAAGAAATTCATGTATAAGAATGCACCTCTCAAATAGAAGATAATTGTAAGCAATGTGCAGCTTTATTCTGAAAGCATTCCTGTTGAACAATTTTTTTCTTAGTGATTTCTTCGACAGTATTTCATGGAGAAGGGAACCCCTAGAAGCATAAGAGAACAAAATGTGAACACAAACTCTGTCTGATGTAACCAAAGGAAAAAAATTCTTGACTAAGAGGTCACATACTAGTACTCCAAAATGGTATTAAAATATGCAATTATTCTTGTGATCTTTGACAAGATACAAAAAGCACAATGAAAAATCAGACAAACCAAAGATGAGACACATTGAGCATAATGTCTGAAAAACACTCGTCTAACAAACAGTGCATCCTGAAAAAGGAAGACAAAGCACTTACAGGGGTGGGTGTCCATCATAGCTGACAAAGGATGGCAGTCTCCCCAGTGATAAGACCTGTCTCCACCACCGCTACTCACATACAGAATATGCTCAGAGGAAAAAGGAACACAACATGTGGGGTGTTCAATGTGAAAGAATTGGTGGATATTCTCTGGGATTTACTGACAGATTGCTTTGAGCCATTCTCTGCCATTCCCTGATGATTTATATTACCAAGGCATGGAGAAAAGCCCTAAATCTCTTTTCTCTATGGTGATCTTCAGAGAAAGACAAACAGTTCCCATTGTTCAAGCATGTCCTTCTCTCCACTACTTGTCATCACTTAGGGTTCTCTGTCTTTTTATTGTTTCGGTAACATAACCCTGAAGACTGATTCCATGCTACTGTTTCTTAGGAGGTGTCATGAAGAAATTCCCTTCATTCCTCACAAATGCAACAATCATATTTAGAAACCTGATTTTGCAATATGCTTCAAGTGGTAAAGACACAATGATAGAAATATAAAAGTACATAGTGACAGAGACAATGACAAACCCAAAATAGGAAATAAGAATATCCAGGTATGGTGTCCCTGAGACCACTTATGTGTATGAAAATCAATCCCTTGAATCTCCTGTCAAGATAAAAAATTAAAATCTCATGCACTATGTGTTTGTGAGTTGCCCCCTCTCAAGATGGATTTTTTAGGTGAGTTATTAAAAAAATTAACTTCAATGACAACAAAACGTATTTTAAGTAGTTCCTTAATCCTTATTTCACATCAAGTAAAGGCTGAAGTGAATCTTTTTTTCTTTTTTTAATTAAACATATCCACCTCCTCCCCTCCTCCCATTTCCCTACCACTCCCCCTATTTTTCCTCCCCCTCCCTCTTCAGTCCTAAGAGAAACCAGGGTACCCTGCCATGTGGGAAGTCCAGCCCCCCTCCTCCATCCAGGTCTCAGAAGGAGTGCTTCCAAACAGACTAGGCTCCCAAAAAGTCAGTAAATGCAGTAGGATCAAAACCCAGTGCCATTATCATTGGCTTCTCAGTCAGCCCTCATTGTCGGTCACAATCAGAGTCTGGTTTTATCACTGTACTGACTTGTTCAGTCCCAGTACAGCCAGCCTTGGGGAACTTCCATTAGATCAGTCACACTATCTCAATGGGTGGATGCACCCCTCTGTATCTTGGCTTCCTGGCTCATCTTCTCCTCCTTATGCTCTTTATCTGGACCTTGGGAAATCAGTCCAGTGTTCCAATGAGGTCTCGGTCTCCATCTCTGTCCATCGCCGGATAAAGGTTTTATGGTGATATCAGATATATTCATCAGTGTGGCTATGGGAGAAGGCCAGTTCAGGCACCCTCTCCTCTGCTGCCCAAGGACCTAAGTGGGGAAATCCCCTTGGACACTTGGGAACCCCTCTAGAGTCAAGTCTCTTGCCAACCCTAACATGGCTGTCTTAATTAAGCTATCTACTTTATGTTATTTGTGGCTTTCAAGAAAGGTGATGTTTCTCTGATTTCCCTCTCTGCTTTTCTATCCTTTGTCTATAGGAGGGCTACTGATTTTTTAGAGTTGATCTTATATCCTGCCACATTACTGAAGGTGTTTATCAGCTATAGGAGTTCTTTGGTAGAGTTTTTGGGGTCCCTGATATACACTATCATATCATCTGCAAATTATGAAAGTTTGACTTCTTCTTTTCCAGTTCGAATCCCCTTGATATCCTTATGTTGTTTTTATTCCTATTGCTAGAACTTCAAGCACTATATTGAAGAGGTATGGAGAGAGTGGACAGCCTTGTCTTGTTCCTGATTTTAGTGGAATGGCTTTGAAAAAATAAGATATTCCAGGACAAAAACAGATTTAAACAATACATAGCCACAAACCCAGCCTTACAAAAAGTAGTGGAAGGAAAACTACAAACCAAGGAAGCCAACAACATCCATAATAACACCAGCACCTGACAACTCCACCAGCAAAAGTCAAAGAAGGGAAACACACAAACACTATGACCACAAAAACTAACCAGAGTTAACAACCACAGGTCATTAATATCATTTAATATCAATGGACTCAATTCACCTATAACAAGGCACAGGTTAAGAGAATGGATACAAACCAGAATCCAACATTCTCCTGTTTACAAGAAACACACCTCAACCTCAAAGACAGACACTACCTCAGAGTAAAGAGTTGGATAAGTTTTTCTATCAAGCGAACCTAAGAAACAAGCGAGTGTGGCTATACTAATATCTAACAAAATTGATTTCAAACTAAAATTAATCATAAGAGATGGAAAAAGACACTTTATACTCCTAACAGGAACAATTCATCAGGAGGAAGTCTCAATCCTGAATATCTATGCCCTCTAATATAAAAGTACCCACATATGTAAAAGAAACATTCCTATAACTCAAAGCACACACCAAACCCCACACTTTAATAGTAGGTTATTTCAACACTCTTCTCTCAGCAATGAAGTGAATCTTATAATTAAATATCTTTCTAAACCCCCTGTTGGAATTTAGAAGGATGTGCACTGAGGATGTGGTATCCTCTGCTGTCTGCACAGCATGAATGTGGAGTCACTTAATGTTTTGTATCCAGTATCTGAACAGTGTGAATCATACAATTTCCTATTTATATGCAAGTGGGAATCTAGACAGTGTCAGAAAAATGCTACTCATATTTTATCTCCAGGTCATCTAAGAAACTCAAGGGCAATTGTCAGAAACCTGAGGGAAAAGTGCAAGTCTTGCCCAATGCTTCCCTTCATCCCTCAGGAACCTCCCTCAATGCACAGCAGCCTCCTGCTCAGACTAAATGCCCAGGCCTAGCTGACAGCCCCCCTCCTGCTAACTAGAGGTTCCAGTAGGTGCTGCTCCTCTCCCCGGTGAGCTCTCCAACCTGTAAGTGCTCAGGGTTTCAGGAAAAGACCCAGATATATCATCTGTTGGATGTATGAATCGTGAAGATAGTACCTATTTCCCAGGTGCCCTGTCCTGAAGGAATAAGCCTCTGGTCTAGTACAGACCTCACAGACTCTGTCCCTCATCTGAACTGTCTGTGAATTCTCATTAACCGCTTATTGTGTAAGCTGTGTCTGTCAGTTTCCAGGAAAATGTCTGTAGTGGATATGAAGAATATGGAGTGGTGGACATGCAAATTATAATTTTGGTCTCAAATCCCAAGTCTAAATCTGCAGGGGCACTTGCTGTTGCACAAATTCCAATTGCCCTTAGTGGTAAAAATCCTGAATCAGCTATCAGGGGCAAAAACTGAAGGGTCAGAAAAGAACTGTATTCAGTCAGTAGAGAGTTATTATCTCTACCAATGCTCAGACCAAATGGGGAAGATTCTGTCTCTACAAATCCTCTGAATGAATGCTGTCTTTCCAAAATTTCAGACTGCCTCTCAGACTGAATCCTCAGACTGCATCTGAGTTCTTGTCTCCTTCTGTCTTATATTTCTCTCTCTGCCCATTCAAGTCACTCCTGCCTCTGTTTCTCTGCTGCTGAAATTAAAGTTATATAATCCCAGTTGCTGGGATCACCTTTGTATGAGCTCTCTTTCTAATTTGCAGAAATTTAATCTCTTGTAGCCGAGGTTTGTATTCTATCTTTTAAGTGCTGGGATTAAAAGTTTGTGCCAACATTGCCTGGCTTCTATGGATAACTAGTGGCTCAGCTCTGCACTCTGATCATCAGGAAACTTTATTTGTCAGATCAAAGACAAAATATTACTACACCTCCATGGCTACATTTTCATAAACCTGAACAATCTTCAAACTTCGGACACAGTCATGTATTACTGTGCATGAGAGAACTCCAGTGTGAGCTTGGACAGAAACCTCTCTACTCAGACCAGCAGGGGAAGTGGAGGATCAACAGGTACTCACAGAAACAGTGCTCATCTGGAATATGCTGCATTTGCACCTGTTGGATGTCATAACCTTTAGGGTTTTTTTCTTTTACACAAGGAAATCCTCTAGAGCACCCTTTACTTGTCATAGCCTATTAATGTTGTTTTTAATTACACATTAAACACCTGTATTTCTACACTCCTCTCATATGTCTAATTTCTCCTTGTCAAACAAATATATATCTATATCTATATCTATATCTATATATATATATATATATATAGAGAGAGAGAGAGAGAGAGAGAGAGAGACAGACAGACAGACAAACAGACAGAGACAGAGACACAGACCAAGAAGATAGATAGATAGATAGATAGATAGGAGTCTGAAATTGTGAAACTTTGTGAGACAGTTTTGTAAGAATTTTGAATAATCTTTAATTCAAACTCTCTATTTTTAAACTTGTGAATGAGAAATCATAACTTCCTTGAATTGATGTTTCTTTTCAAAGTTAGCTTAAAAATGAACCATCCACAGTTTCCTACTTCTAAACTAATAGGACCTTGATAAAAATGTAGAGTTGTTATAGCTGTTGCACTGTTATTTTTGAACCTTTTCACTTTGGTAAAAATTACCTTGCAAATCAAAGTCCAAGCTAATGGTTCTTCTACAGGCATATTGTGTGACTCACACCACAAAATTGTCAGCCACAAATATGCACATCCTTGTAGAAATCAGCTGTGGTCCCTGGTCCATAATTCTTAAGCCCTTCCCACAGAAGCTGAGTTTTGTGATTTACACAGTTTGTGTTTTTGTCAGTGCTTTTATTGCTCCCATAATTATTCCTCTGCACTCTCTGTTATTGGCTTGTGTTTTGTGTCTGACTTCTGTTTTGTAGACTTGGAATCAGAATGGAAGTCAAGATAGGAAAAGACATCTTAAGTGAAGGACAAGACAGAAAAGGCACAGGGTAATACAGAGGTTGTGAAAGGAAAAGTTGGGTGTAGTGACAGAAAGGGGTTGAAAGGATAGAAAGCATGAGAATTTGGGAAAATTAAAACAAAGTCTTCGGAAAATACAAAATTGATGCAAAAGTTTTGTGTTTTGTTACAAAAATGCATTAAATGTCCCCATTGTGCTGACTATATAAATATGCAGAAATAAAAACTGACAAAAGACAGCATGAGGACAGCCATGTGTGGCCAGGTATCAAGGTGGGAAACGGAAAGGAAGAGTGGGGAGAAAAAAGTGGTCATAGGAAGAATTTCAGGATGCAAACAATTGAGTCAACCACTGAGAGGAAGACAGACAGTAACAAGAAACATCACATTTGAAAACTTCCTGAGGCTGTAGGACACCATCTCTAAGAACTGAGTAAAACTCAGAAAAGTCTCAAGTGTTCCTATCACAGTGAAGGATTTCTATTTAGAAAGGGGTATGACCCTACCCAAGGTTCACCTCAGGAAGAATCCATGTCCAGCAGAGACAGAGGGACAAACAGAGCTAATATCTAGAAACACAGCTGTGTGTGGAGATGTTTAATTTCAAATTGATCCTAAAGAGACATGACAGTGTGGAAACACTACATTTTCTATGTATCAGATGAAAAGGGAACTAAATTAAGCGAGGTAAGTCCCTAACAAGGAAAATGTGTACACAGACCTATGTTAATTGTTCAATTTCTATGGCTGTCATCAGGGTGTATGATGTCTTATATCTGCTCTGAGTACTGCCTTCTACCCAGGTCCAACTACAGAGTCTGTTATGGGAGGAAGATATGCAAATAAGGCTTCTTTGTGCCCATAAAAATCCAGCCCTGCCCTGACCTTGCAGCACTGGCAGAGGAGACAAGCCCTGGATTCCGAAGTCTTCTCAGTCAGGGTTCAACACTGAACACAGGACACCCACCATGGACTTAAGGCTCATATTGGTTTCCTTTGTTCTTATTTTAAAAGGTAACTCATAAAGATGGGATACTCTGTGTGTTGTGTGGACATGAGAAAGAGAAAAAAATGTCTTTTGTGTCAGTTTTCTAACCAGAATTCTTTGGGTTTACAGGTGTCCAGTGTGAGGTGCAATTGCTGGAGTCTGGGGGAGGCTTAGTGCAGCCTGGAAAGTCCCTGAAACTCTCCTGCGCAGCCTCTGGATTCTCCATCAGTAGCTACTGGATGAATTGGGTCCGCCAGTCTCCAGGGAAGGGACTGGAGTGGGTCGCATCCATTAATAGTGGTGGTAGCACCTACTATACTGACGCTGTGAAGGGCCGGTTCACAATCTCCAGAGACAATGCCAAGAACACTCTGTACCTGGAAATGAGCAGTCTGAAGTCTGAGGACACAGCCATGTATTACTGTGCAGGAGACACAGTGAGTGAATGTTACTGTGAGCTCAGACAAAAACACCGCTGTGGCGAACACAGGACCAGCAGGGGGCGCTGAGAGCACTTAGAGATCTGGGGCACAGAAGAGCTTCTTTAGAGAAGCATGGAAGACTGGACTTCTCTGTGTCTGCACTGCCTCTCCATATCACACTTAGAGATTTTCTCCACAGGAATAGTGTGTAGTACTCCTTGAATGTCCAAATGATTATTCAAATATCTGTTTCCAGTTGTGTTGTGTTTATTAAAGAGTTTTTCCTTGTTTCCCTTTATCTATCTCTGTCTCCATCTCTCTCTCTCTCTCTCTCTCTCTCTCTCTCTCTCTCTCTCTCTC